GGCCAATTTTATGTGTTATTAAAAAAAGGCAGTCGCGAGCTATACACAGACGTTTTGCTGTTAATATTTCCCAATGTATGTGCTTTATGTGTTGTGCTTAGCACCATATGACATTCAGCAATTGAGGAACTTGGCTATGAATGAGTGAGAGACTTGTGCAACCTGTGAAAGTTTTTGAGCACAAAGGTGTAGTTTCAATATTTAGCAAAACAGACTTAACTTTGAACCAAAATCTCACAAAGGAGAGTCTTAAACTATTGACATTTTTTGGTCACCTTTGTGGAATTATTTTTGTTTGAATTGTCTTAATGTTCATCAAATGTAATTGTTGAACGAAAATAACACTACCTTGAAGGTTCAGCCGAGCCCTGGTTGGTCCGAAATCGGCCGGGTTGGGATGCACTGACGACGCCGTTATGCTTGCATCAGGGATGCGTCCATCTTCCATTCCGAAGGGTCCCTGTTCAGAGCACTCCAAAACGTCTGTCGGAGATAGTGGAAAGTATCGATCAGGGTGGAGCCGGGTTCATTAAAGCAATCACAATCTTTTGTTTTAATGGACATCACGGCCGGGCGTGGAATCTTGATCTGGAATATGTGTTTTGAAGCTTGGTATGTTTATATATTTTGATTGGTACATTGACGCTGAAGCTCAATCAGACGAAGTGTTTCAAGTAGTGATTATCATGTTTCACTCGTGCTTCCGTGATAGAATGGAAATCTCTGTATGTAATAGGTTGACCTTTAATTTACATACTACAACACGCGACACCAAGGTCAGGTCATCCACACCAAATGCGAGATGCGAGATGGCAGATTTGGAACACCTTTCTAGCTCGCATTTAACTTTAATAGTGTATCCATGTACGTTTGACGTTTAAACGAGCTAAACAAGTCGTTGTAATGTGATAAATAAGTCGGTTAAACGAGACAATAAGTCGTTTAGACTAATACTTCATATACTATGTATATTCACCAGATGGATTTTTTTTTTCCTTTTTTTGCGTTGGGTTGATGTAAATCAAGATTTCGTCCTTCACCGACTTATATACACACTCTATAGTCGGTGTGTTACCTCCAGAGTGAAAGTTGGGAAAAATCGTTTGGGTGGGTACTTGAACCGACGACTTCCAGCTTTCTAGTGCAGATGTTTTTCCGATTGACCACCGACCTTTATGTCGGTAAAGGGGGAAATTAACCATAATTTGATTTCAACACCACGCCACAAAACAAATGAAATAAATACATTAATTAATTAATTAATTAATTAATCCATCTTGTGAATAGATAACGCCATACCCGCTGCTGGGTACATAAGAATCGAACCAGCCAACCGATCCCGTTAGCTCGATGGTCGAGTGGTCAGACATCTGCACTAGAAAGAAAGCAGGAGGTCGTGGGTTCGAGTGCTACCCGAGTTTTTAACTTTTAAACGTGAGGTAACACACTGTGAACAGTATTTTATATATCGGTACAGGGCGACACCTAAGTTGAGATATACTATGTCCTTGTTCATGTTTGATTTTTGTATTGGTTGGAAGCTTCTATACAAAACGCAAAGCCATGTCATGTTCTTCCTTTAAGTCATACGCTAGCGATTTCGGCGCAAGTTCGGCGGCGCAACGACATGAAACAAGCCGACTGCTTCTCAGCATGAGATTATCGTTTTTTGTTTAAGGCTGGCCTTTTTTAAAGGAAATTGCGTCCTTGAATCACCGCCAGTGGTGCGTATCCGACGGGTTACCCTGCACTACTGTGATGAAATAAAAGGTACAGGGAGAACACCGCTTTGAATTGTTTATGTTGGCTCTGCTCTGGATAATTTGACTTAATTTATTTATTTGTATCGAGGCCCAATTTACATTTGAGCGAGAAGACGAGGCAGAAAGCTAGTAATTAACGGCCGTGCTTCTTTTGTGGAATTTGCCGGAGATACTGCATTATACATGAACGAAGCTCACTTTCAGATCCAATTTATAGAATGAAAATACTATCACCAGGCCTTGGTAATGTTGCGTTAAAAGAAACATTCAAAGTAGTGCCAACCGTGGCCCAATGTTGAAATTTTAATTGGAAAAGACACCAATGTTTGTATTATTATTAAAATGGAATGCCTTGTCGAGGTTGACCTCTTCATACTTCCCAACCTTCCAATTCAGACGAAAATGAATAACCGATTTTCAGAAGTGCATGATCATTTCAGGAAATTGGCCGGGATAACCTATATTATAAATGACAACATAAAATACAGAAAGGCTTCAGTGATCACGCTTTTTGTGGAAATAATTGTGCTTTAGTACTGCAACCAATATTTGGGGGACCGGGCACCACCCGATCACCGTTTTAGAATCGTACGAGCTCTTCTTTCTTTTTCCAGACGGTAATTATGTGCGACTTTTCTTCAACCTGTTCACAGCAGGAACTTGAAACTTGGAATGAAATTCAACCCTGATACGGAGGTCACATCACGATGACGTCATCTGGTATAAAATTACCAAATCGGCATTTTCAACCAATGGACAAACTAAACATTCATGTTAATATACGTTTTCCCGGCCAATTTCAACCAAGTTTTCATTCATTTCATTTCCTGGCTCATTGAATTCAGATTAAAGTTGAAAGATCACGCATATTGTCATTCGACTATCTAAAAGAACCATTCAATTTCACTATCCTAAAGTAGGTTTAACCAGCCAATGTCCTTAAATGTTCATTCACTTCTGAAAATCGGTCATTCGTTTTCGTCAGAATTTGAATGCACGTCTTTAATCCCATTTCAATTCAACAAAGGTTCAATCGTTTTCATATTTTCGTGCATTCAGTTTTGAGAAACAAACGGCCAATAACGTTACCTGTGCATTTATTTACAAATGCATACCTTGTCTAAATTGGTCGCAGGTACAGCTAATTTCATTGACGGTTAATGAAAAAAGACCCTAACTATATTTTCGCCTTCCAACAGCGGAGAAGAAGTCTTGTAAGCGATTCGAATGGACAAAATCGGAAGTTGCTGCTCAATAACTTAATTAATTAAACAGAAATGGTATTGACCGATTTTCAGAACTGAATGAAAATTTTAGGACATTGTCCGGGAAAACATAAAACTTTTCTATCGTCTTTTCGCTTCACTCCAACTAAAGTATAGTCTTGTTCATTCAATTTCGTCTGAACCAGCAGTTAGGGTTGATCGAACATTCAGCCATTATTGGGCAAACATATTTTGCATTTTGTCAAGCATATTTTAAGACTTCCTGCACGTCCGTATTCCTTTCAAACTCTAAATTATCTCAGCGTATTAAAAGTATATCAGACGTCTTCAATCCGTAGATGAACACCTCTTTTTCTTAAAGAGCTATGCAATAAATTTATCTGAGGAACACATTTTGTGCAACTTTCGACTCCACTTAAAAGTATGAAAACTATTTGACATGCATTTTTGGTTACTCTTATTGCAAAATACAGACAGAATCTTTCAAATCATAAGAAAACTTATTTCTTCGGAACGGGTGAATGGACGTAAAAGGAAACCTGGTTTGAACATCAACCCTTGTCCTGAAATGTGTCAATTTTTGTGACGTCGACGTGACGTAATCAGGATCATGTACATGTACACCCACACGCGTACATCAACGTTCGCGCATTGTTATACGATACTGAAGTGGCACGCGTGTAGTGGCGCTTGTACTCTCTGGAAAGATGTTAGTGATGTAATACAGAGGTTTGACAACGAATTTCAAAGAATATGACGGTCTTGAAGGATTATATACTGCTTTCATATTAACATTAACCATTTACTAGCTATTTATAGGTTTGCTCATCTAATGTTTTCGACAATTAAAATTTGAGCTAGTTTGTTGTTTTCAAATAAAATTCGGGAAGACCCTACTTTTCAATGTCATGTCCCGCCCATGAAAGGGTCAGAAAAAGTGGCATCAGGTGGTTTTGAGCTTCTTGAGGTATCCTTATTGTGATCCTGGGAGTTTTGAACAGTGTACCTAATAATGCATAGGGGCTCACTGACTATATATCATTGGAAAGTCAATAATTTGTGTAATGCTACCAAATTAAGCGATTGGCACACACAATTCCATTGGGCCCTTCCTTTCACGCGAACTGCACGCACCTGATTTGGTATACACTGCAATCTCACTAGGCCCTCTTTAATGGGGGGAAAAATAAAAAAAAAAATTGCACGCGTTTGTACAAAGCAACTGCCACTTGACGGAATAGCTGAGCCAAACCTTGCACAAGGCTTTTTCCATTGAAAGGGGCCTTCGTGATAGAATTGTTAGCGTGCTCGGAATTGTCTGTACTGTATTGCCGCTGCTTCGGTTTCAGAATGGACATTAACGTTCAAAATTGACATTTACAATAGGCCTCAGACGACGTCATACTTTGTTTACAGGATGGGTGGAATGCATCCCACCTATCTCAAAGGAAAGCGCACATATAAACAAAGCGTTACGTCATTAGGTAGTAGGTATATTACAATAGGCCCATACTCACCATGACAGTTGAAGTAATCATGAATGTCCTCCTGGTCGTTGGTGAACATTGGAGTGTCGGTGTAAAACGGTGGATGAGACCAATGGACTGGCTGCATGTAGACAGGTCCCGGTCTGGTACTGGTGCAGGCGCAACGATCAGCCTTACTCCCCGGCATAAACCAGCGAAGACGGCCTGACTGATTTGCATCAGGCTCCTGACCGAAGTAGCAGACCCTCTCAGCCCAAACCACGCCCATAAGGGTCCCTATAATGAAGAAAATGTCACGCAATAAAAAAAAGGATCGCCGGTATTTATTTCTTTTTCGAATGTATCCGCAAAGGGGGTGACTTCATAAACAAAAGAAAGGCAAAGCAAAACAAAACACCGCCCCCCCCCCCGCATTAATAATAATAAACAAATCCATAAACAACCCTACACGTACCAAACAAGTGTGAGTGCACAAAAAAATCTCTGGCTATCTTGTATGAAAGTCTTGCATGAAATCTATCAAAATGATCCCCGTCAGAGCTTACAAACGCGACGCCCAAAATATGACGCCGATGGCACATACCGAGGGTAATTATCACCCATCCAGACTCCCATATATATTTTATTCCCATTCATAACTACCTTTTTGGTCCAACTTTGTTTCGGTTCAAAAATCAAAACATGTCAAAAACTAGACGTTCGCCAATGAATGACAGTATGCTTTTGCCTAGTTCCGGATAGCACGTGCACTTACGACCCAACTACACGCGCGTTAATCGATTTTGTGTGACGTATTCTGTGCTGGGTCAAAGATTGTTGGTCCGTGCGTGAGTTCGAGCCGTTGCTCTGCAAACAAAAGTTTCAAAATCATTTACTTGTTTTTCTCTCTTTTTAAATTTGCTGGAATTCTCTTCAATGAACTATTTTTTTGGAAAATGAAATAATACTTTTATCAGAAAATATGCTTGATTCGGTTGGTTCTGGCTCAAAAAAAAAAAAAAAAAATCTCGCATGATTTTTTTTTTGCGTGAAGCAGTGATCGATTCGGAACTGATTGAACCAATCCGGAACTAGGAAAAGTGACATCGGTACTTTTGACGTCGTAAAATAAAAAAAAAGAGGTTAAATTTTGAAAATTATTACGTGGTCTCTCCATCACTCAGGTAAACTTTTTAATCAATGTCACTTGAATTCGTGGAGTAATTGAGCTGAAAGCAGCCTGAAAGATGGAACGTTAAAACCAATGGAACGTTAAAGGGCATCAGATTTCACGGGAGTCTAAATTTCATGTAACACTGGAAAAGTGTTTAAGACCAGCTAGCCATGTCTGTATCATCCGTTTCAGACCGGCCACGTGACGGGCTGTCGACCAATATGATTGCGTACACTGTCTAAGGTATTTATGAATTCTATATAAATAGGTACAAATAAATGTACAGAAACGAACAGCACCTGTACACACAATCATGAGCACAACATAATAATAATACAAAGGAATGTCAGAGAGCATTTCAGCCATCCCCCCTCCCGGCACACCCTCCGCCCCCCGGCATTAACCTCTCTTGATATAAACACTCAAGAATTTGAAATAGATCGACTGACTGACTCTAAACCAAAATGAATGCACACGCTGATAAGAAGATCCTGTAAGCTTCGAAGCCTTTTAGTTTGATTGCACTAATTGGACAAAAAAAAGACTGCAGAAATTAAGACTCGAGGTCAGTGAAAATGTGGTCTTGAATGCATATTACGAAATGTAATTACTAAAACTACTTAAAAACAAACAAACAAACAAACACCCCAACTAGACTTATGTTTGTGGACAAACACAGGGCTGTTTCGATGCTTTTTGTGACATGTGACATGTGTTCCATCAACCAAGGATATGTAGTTCTGTTTATAATAAATGGTGGCATACAATATGTGATTCCATTCTCATAGGGCTTTGAATTATGACGTCACATGTGACGTAATGACGTCATGATGACGTCACATAAAGTTTCATCTATTACTATAATATTATGGTGAAGAACAACTTAGCCAGAGCAAACATCGTTGAAAGCAAGTTCACATCTTTCACCAATTTTAAATTACAAGGCACTTCCGGTTTCAACCAGAAGAAAGGGTCACGTGATTTATTTGCACATATTTAAAAAATGAGGACCCTCGATGATTCTATCAATTCCCGCAAAAATCAAGTTTAGGTCTCTCACGGTTGATTTTATATTGATTTTTAAAGATTAAATCTATTTTCATCTATAACACATCCCGGTCTAGGTACATACCAACTTTCAATCCAATCGGACCAGTGGTTCTGTATATTTTGGCCTTCGAAATATGCACGTTTAGTATAACGTCACATGTCACGTGATGATGTCATCGTGACGTCAATTCAATTTTCATCTATAACACATTCCGGTTTAAGTACATACCAAGTTTCAACCCAATCAGACCTGTAGTTCTGTAGATATTGGCCTTGAAAAAATGCACATTTGATATGACGTCACATGTCACGTGATGACTAAATCATGACGTCACTTAAATTTTCATCTAAAACACATCCCAGTTTAGGTGCATACCAAGTTTCAACCCAATCAGACCTGTAGTTCTGTAGATATTGGCCTTCAAAAATATGCAATTTTTAATATGACGTCACATGTCACGTGACGACGTCACATCACGTGATGACGTCATCGTAACATCACTTACATTTTCTTAAAATTAATGTGGCCTGACGTTGCGAACTTAGCAAGTTCTTCTTCAGAGGCTAAAACAGAAATGACAGAGGTACATACATTAACATGGGGGTGCACACAAACATGCAGGGCTGAAAGAAGAAACACAAAAGGAGGATTAAGTGGGAAAGGTGTAGAAAGATGCAGGGGAGGGTGGATGAGAGAACAAAGAAACAAAGGGAGATGGCAAACCACAAGGGGTCTGGTGTGAACAGGGGAGGGACCAGAAAGGGGAAGGATCAAAGGTCACAGGGAGTGGGAACGGACAAAAGAGTGTGAGAGTGAAGGGATGATGCGGGGGGGGGGAACAGTATGGAGGTGGAAAGGGATGAAAGATGGGGGAAGATGGGTAAACACAAACAAGGAAGACCAGATGGATTATCTGTAACAGAAGACAATGGATGAAAAAAAGGATTAATCATTTCCAAGTTGGATGTTGAGACCATGTGGTTGAATAGTTCGAAGACGATTCATCCACACTTTCTCTCTGCTGAGACGAACTGAGTCCTTGCGATGGCCAAGAGATTCAATGCCCTGCAAAATCATATCAGAAATGGAGTGGTTAGGCAGGTTGAAGTGATGACCAACAGGGTTGTCTAGTTTCTTGGTGTTGACCGTTGACCGGTGGGCATAGAAACGCTTCTTGAGCGTATTCTTAGTCTCACCTACATACTGCACTCCATAGACCCTGCAAGAAATGAGATATATGACAATAGAGGTGTTACAAGTGATGTTACCAATGGTTCTGTGGGTAGTGACAGAATTAGAGTGGCCAGAAAAGGAGTCAGACTCCTGGATATGAATCTGGCAGACAACACATTTGGAACTGCACTTGAAAGTACCATGCTGGGTGGGAGGGGATGCATCTAAGGATGGGACTTCAGCTCGAACAATCAAGTCCCGTAGATTTCGAGGACGCCTGTAAGCCAATGTGGGGCCGTTGGGGATGGCGCGGGCAAGGCGATCTGAAGTATGGAGGATATGATGATTGTCATTAGTGATTTTGTGAAGGGGAGGGAGATTGGGGTGAAAGGTGGTAACCAAGGGAATCATGGGTTTGGCCATGGCATCAGGGGCCTTTCCCGTGAGAGCTAGATTTCTGGGGATAGCTTTAGCTCTGGCAATGGCACGATGAACTTGGCGAGAGCTGTGACCCCTGGCCACCAAGTTGTTCCTCAGTATCTGTGTATGGCGGGGGAAATCGGAATCATTAGAACAAATTCTTCTGAGTCTGAGTGCCTGGCTAAACGCTTTGCCAGTTTTGCAGTGCCTGGGGTGACATCTGGAGGAGTGGAGGTACTGGTGGGTGTCTGTGGGTTTGGAATACAGGTCAGTGGTTAGTGAGTTGCCTTGCTTGCGGACGGTGACATCCAGAAAGTGGGTTTGGTGAGCCGAGAACTCCGATGTGAATTTGATGGTTCTGTGGAAGGAATTGATGTGGTTAGTGAAGGTCAAGAGACTGTCCTTATCACTGGTCCAGATGAAAAAAACATCATCAATATATCTCCACCAGATCCAAGGGCGACATGGGGCCGAGGCAAGAATGCGTTCTTCGAGGTCACCCATGAAGAGGCAAGCCATCGACGGAGCCATCCGAGTGCCCATTGCAGTGCCGTGTACCTGTAGATAGTGTTCACCAAGGAAGGAAAAATTGTTCTTCGTTAGTATAAGTCTCATGAGGGTGCCAACATCACTGATGGGAGGAGTCGTGTGTCCTGCCTTGGCCAGAGCCAAGGAGCAAGCACGAACACCCTCCTCATGTGGGATGTTGGTGTACAGAGATGAGACGTCGAAAGTCCCAATGATGGCTGTGCTGGGAATCTGGTCCTTGATTCCTTCAAGCTTGCGTAGGAAGTCTGGGGTGTCGTGAATGTATGACGAAATCTGTGGGACAAGGGGTTTGAGAAAACTGTCAATGAACAGGGAGATGCGTTCCGTGGGTGAGCCATTACCAGAGATGATGGGTCTACCGGGGTTGCCAGCCTTGTGAATCTTGGGTAGAAGGTAAAATCTGGCAGTCCTACAATCACAGGGAGAAAGAAATTTGTGAGCTTTCTTGGACAACTGGTCACGTGATCGCATATCGTCAAGTACCTGTTGTATATCTCGACAGAAAGTACCTGTGGGGTCAGAGTCAAGGCGGGTATAGTTAGTGCGATTATCCAACTGGCGGTGGGCCTCATCAATGTACTGCTGACGATCCATGATGACCACAGCTGAACCTTTATCTGCTGGCTTGATGATGATGTCGGTGCGAGAGCGCAAGGAGTTGAGAGCCAGGCGTTCCTCTCTGGGGAGATTATCATGAGTCCTGTGGGGGAAGTTGTCCGGGTTAGTGACTTGGGAATTGATAACTTGAACGTATGTCTCTATGGCTGGCACACGATTCTTGGGGGGTACCCATGAACTCTTGACTCGAAAAGGCTCTGGCTCACACGGTTCACTGTCCAGGAAAAACTCACGCAGACGGATTCTACGGTAGTATTCCGTGAGATCTTGGCTGAGCTGAACCTGGTTCACAGAACGGGGAGCGGGACAAAAATTGAGACCCTTAGAGAGAAGTTTGTGCTCTGCGTCAGATATTGATGAGGAAGAAAGATTAACTACAGTGTTGACAGGGGGTTCTGGCGTAGGCGTGGTAGATGGGGACCTGCGTTGCTGTTGCTTGGCAAGCAAGCCACCAATCTTCTTGTTTCTCCTGTTGAGTAGGACAGAGTCAAGGTTAGACAAACCCCTTTCAATCTCATCATGAAAATTCCTGTACGTGGAGTCAGAACAACTGGATTGAGTTGGGAGTTCAGGTGGGAAATATTCTGATGGAGGTCCTCACGTGTAAATTGACACTGCTGAGAG